AACATATTAAAGTGTAATGTTAAAAATAAAAGAATACATAATACAAATAGTGTGATGATTTAAATTAATAGTTTAGTATAAATAATATTTATAAATTAATAAATAAAATAAAATAAACTTATCATTATCGATGTCTTAAATTATAAGGTTAAATCAATAAAATAACTACTGTAAATAGTAATATAATATAAAATATATTAAAAAATCCTATTTTTTAAAATATTATTAAGAGGAAAAAAATAATAAAATCCTACCTAATGTGAAAATAGCAAATGAAAAAATTTTAAAATATTATAAGAGTAAAAATAATAATAAAATATTAAAAGCTAAAAGCTAGCACTTAAAAAACTAGTTAAAATAATGTTTCAAAGACGCCACAAACCACTATACATATAATATTTAAATAAAAATAAAAACTCATTTACCAAACATGATTAATAAGATGAAACAAATTTTTTCCAAAGCTATAAAATTGTTAAAAGTGCTTACCAAACATGACCTTAGATAATCATAACTATAGTATCATTTAATTTCTCCATTGTATCTTATATATTTTGGTGGTCTGAATTCGATGTAAAATAATTTACGGTTATGCGTCAACGCTATCACATAAATACATTAATGACACCTTGATTTCTATTCACATGCATATACTTGGTATCGTTTTCTTCAACGATCACCATCACCACCATACACTCAGCTAGTTTTATTTTTTCTTTCTCTTTCTTCTTTAAAATATAATTTTAGTCTGAAAATATTACATTATTTAGTAACAATTTTAGTCTTTAGAAACTAAAATAAATATTTTTATTGAAATTAAAAAATAAATATTTTGATATTTTAAGAGATTAAAAAATTATTTAATCTTTTTGTGTTCTACGGCTATTATTTGTTTATTAAAACTTATTTACTCAAACTAATTTTATTCATATATTTTACATTGAAACATGCGTAGGACGTGGAGAATTTATTCTGTGTAAAATAAATAGTTCTTATACTATTAAATATAATTGGAATTTAAATTAATATTGATTATAATTATATTTAAACATGATTTTTTTTGGACAAGATTTAAACATGAGTTATGATAAGAAATTAATTCTTAGGTATTTATGCTTATATATATATATATCATTACAGGTATTTATCCTTTGTTTGAATTAGAAGATAAATAAGGTACAAAAATAATAAAGAAAGGAGATAAATAGAAAATATAGAAGGGGAAGAAAACTAGAAAAGTACGTAGAATAAAAAAATAATAACAAAATCTATTTGATTGTTTAAACTAGTGAACATAAATATATAAATTGTATAATACCTTTCTACTAATTAGAAAAATTAAATATTTCACTATATTATTTTTTATAAAATTTTATTTTAATTTTGAAAACTAAAACAAAAGCAAAATAGAAAAAGAAGTCAGCAAACATCTCCCACCAAAACTTTGGCTTAAATTTTTAAATGTTAGAGTAATGAAAACATTTTTTTTCATTTATATTTTTCTTGTAGAATAAATAAACAAAATTTTCATATGTATGATCTTTTAGAAACAATTCTATAATTAGATAGTTTTCCAGCAAAGATTTAAGCATTTGAAAGACTTGGCTCGTAGTAGACTGATTGAGTCTATAAAAGGAGTGTTTGGTGTGAATAAGTAAAAGTAAGCAATGGCAATGAGAAAAGGAAAATAGTGAGAGGTTACGTGGAATAATGTGGAATGAGTGAAAGGGGGGACACATGTTGGCGTCAAATCCATTTATGGACAGACCACATGCGCCCATAAGAAAACATAAAGAAGATGCAATGTATACGAAGTGTAAATGGCGTTGTACAATCACTTTAGTGCACTTCAACCTGTAATATTGACTTTTCACAATATCTTTAATTCTCCATCCAAAGAAGCTATGTCACATCCACAAGTCATTCCTATAAAGTTATGCAAAAATTGCTTCCTCATTTCTCATTCGTTACTCAAATGTTTCTTACGACCTCTTCTTTTTTCTTCATTTTACATTCTAATTTTATATCCAATCACACGTGCTTTATAATCTCTTTTCCACAACACTCTCTTCCATTTTTTTTTTCTCTTTAACTTTTTATTTTATTAATCTCATATTTATAATTCTTAAAGGAAACAAACAGTATTGGGTCGTATGTTGGTTTAAATGAAAATAAAGAGGGAAAAAATGAAAAAGAGGAAGATAGAGTGTAAATATTAAAATTTAGTGATAAAAAAATCGTATATAGATATACGATTAAAAAAACTCAAGCTTATATCTAAAGATAAGAAAAATGTAGTTTGAATTGAAAAATCAAGATATTTTTTTTAACTAAATGTAGGAATAATACGTGAACTACAATTATAAAAAATTAGAAAAAAGAGATAACTTTTGCCTCTCTGTATATTTATTTTAAAATTTGGAGAAAAAATAATAAATATATCAAAAAAGTGGAAAAGAGAAAAAAAAAATATCATATTTATATTGCTATTAAGGGTAAAATGATCCAATAAAATGAGAAAACCAAATACAGCTACTAACACAAATGGTTCCTTTATTAATAAATAACAAAGAAAAGGACATTTTGTACCTCTTAAAAAAATTAAATAAATTGATAGTTACTATTTTTTAAAAAATAGTTATTATTTTGTATAGACATTCTTTTCCTATTTTATTGATAAAAAAAGATTAGAATACAAATATAAAATTATAATTGCCTTGAAAAATATTGACACAAAAAACATATATCTCCTTTATATACTGTTATAAATATAAAACATAAATAAGAGAAAAAAGTATTTAATGTGTAATTAGAAAAGAGAAGAGAATACGACCAAATAAATTTGTGAAGTCAATACTCTTATTATAATTTTTTACTGTATTTCAAATTATAAAAATAATTTATAATTATATCATATATTATTATAAGTAAGTTCAAAAAGTTAGTGAGGACAACACTCAAATAAATGGATTCGTTTGTGTGCCTTAGTGATTACAATTGTAATAAAATATACGAATATAATGTAGATATTACGGTTGGCGGTTGTCAAGTTTCAGTTGAGAATTGACTCGAAAATACACTTAATAATTAAAGGACGGCGTAATAATAAAAGAAAATTGCAGTATATTTTCTAATTTTCTTTGTTTCACATGTCTCAACGGACAAAAGAGATTGTATATATTATTTTTAAGTTAGATAAACTGTATTATTTTCTTTTGAATTATTAATATGTTATAATTATTCAAATGAATTTTTATCCACTTTTGTTTTTATTTCTATTATTTTTTCATTAATTTACAATTTGAAATCATATTTTTACTTTTTGTAAACTATTTTTTTTATTCTTCTAAATATAAACTTGTTATTTTTAATCTTTAAATATTTTTTAAATAATAAATAATATTTATTTTAAGATTAAAAAATATTTTTGAATTATCATATGTTGACCTAATATCATAAATATTATTAAGTGTCATTTAGAATAGTCACTTGAATTTCCATTAAATATGCAACAATTAAAAAGTGTCATGGAAAAGAAAAACAATAATTTCAAAGTTTTGAGAATAAAAATCAAAGAGTAAACATTTAATTTGGTCCTTGAAAGATAGTAGATGTGACAAATTAAATGTGTTTCTAAAAGATTTTTTAAGGCATATAAATCCCTAATTTTTACTTCATCATGTAAATTGGTTCTTTTGTTATATTGTGTTACTAATTCTATTGATTTCCTTAACACTCAACAATTAAGTGTTAAATTAACATCTATTATCTCTCTTAGTTGATTGTTTTCCCTCTCCTAATTACTTAATATGAATCATAATGCAAATTTATGATATTTTTCAATCGACAATGAACATTTTATCATATTTAAATGTTCTCGTCATGGATATTCTAGTTGAAAGAAAGGTGATTGTTGAGTTTCATGAGATTTATTATAATTGGATTTTTCTATCTCAATCATTCTTAATTTATTTGTTTGTTATGACTACAATTTTAGAATCATAATCCCTGAATTATTGAATTTGGAGTTTAGCAAAATAAGTGATCATTTTAAAAGATCTTAAGCAAAAATGCATTAATTGAATGAGTGTTTCTGCTATATTTAATGAATCACAAAACTTTTGTCATAGAAGTGGAAAAGAAATTAGTGATAATGATCCTCTATGTTAATTATAAGAGATAATATGTGACAATTAACTGTTGATTGGTTATAAAATTAACAAAGTTAGTAACCGAATATAACAAAAGAGTTAATTACCTATACATTACCAGTGTAAAGTTTTTTTACACTGACAACCAATCATATCTTTTAATAGTGTCATGTCAGTTGCTTATTTAATAAAATAAAATAATTTAAAAGATATGATTGGTTGTCAGTGTAAAAAACTTTACACGGGTAATGTATGAATGATTAACTCATAACAAAATGACTAACTTCCGTAACAAAGTTAAAATTTAAGTACGTCACAATAAATCTTTTAAAGACCTACCGACCACTTCTATTATTTTTTTAATATCAGATTGAGTTTTTACTCAAAAATCAAATATTATTTTTTCAGAGACAATAATTAAAATTTTAGGATAAAACTTAGGCACATTACCATAAGTACATGTAGTTTTGTTCTTTAATCAAAATTGGTGCATATATTAAAGATAAAATTTCAATTAGTTTTAAGAAAGTGATTTAGAGTTTAATTCATAATTTTTATCGAAAAATGTTAGAAAATTAGTGAATTATGTTAACCAGAAAGATTCACATACTCTCTCCTTATCATTTTGATTCCTATGTTCCTCTCCACACACACCACTTTATAAGTTTAAAACTTTAATTTAATTTTGTAGTGGATGAAACTTGAATTGTAATTAAAAAGAAATGCTATGGTAGCTAAATAACTGTATTTTTTAATGAGATAAGAAATCCTGTTTTACACGTTATTTAAAAGTAGCTGATTTTTACGCTAGTTAAAAAAATGGAAAAGTCATGCCGCGGTGGCGCTATCGTTTTGCGTGCGTCCCTGAGTGAGCCATCCATATACATAAGCAACCAAACTCTGGTTTTGTCTGAGTTACATTCATTCCGCAAAGAGAAGAGAAGAGAAGAGAAAGAAAGAAGATGGAGGAGTGGTGTAAGTCAATGCCAAAGGTCGAACTGCATGCTCACCTCAATGGATCCATCCGAGACTCCACGCTCCTGTAACCGCCTCTTCTTTTATTCACCTTTGATTTCTTTTTTTGGAACCTTCACTTTCTTATTCTTATTTGTTTATTATTTTTGCAGAGAGCTTACGAAGGGTTTGAGTCGAAAGGGTGTCATAAATTCATCCGAAATGGAACATATCATCAAAAAATGTATGCTTATCTTGTTCATTCATTCTCCTGTTTGGTTGCTCGAAAAGACAAGACCGCCAACAAACATGTCCCTCTCTTGTGTTTTTCTGCGCTTCTTCCCGTGTTTGTCCACCCTGTCTCTCTTTCAATGCCGATTTTCAAATTTATGTTGACGTTTCATTCTCACGCGCATGTTCAACCCTGCTTTCTCTTCCAAACAAAGCCACAAGCTTCATCCCTCCATAAACTAACTCACACAACCATCCATGAATTCTCCTTTTTTAAGGGAAAACCACCTTTGCCTTTTGCATAACTCTTGCTAGATTTTGCTTTTATTTTATTTTTATGCCTAATTCACTTCTCTTTCTTCATGCTTACACTGATGCTAATTATGTCTTTTAAATACAGATAATCGGTCCTTAAACGAAGTTTTCAAGCTGTTTGACCTAATCCACATTCTCACTACGGATCACAATACCGTTACAAGAATCACAAAAGAAGTATTGCTTCTTTTGTTGCTATATAAATTTTTGTTTTTGCCTAATTAATTTCCTTTTCATTTGTACAAGTAGTGGTAATAATAATAATAATGTAATAAAACAGGTTATCGAGGATTTTGCATCAGAGAATGTTGTCTATCTGGAGTTGAGGACTACTCCAAAGGTAATTCAGGCTGTTTTTGTTCTTTCTATTGATGTGTTACATGTATTAGAGAATGGCAATTGATTTGAGGAAGAAAACGTTTGTTGATTCCGTCCAGAAAAATGATTCCGTGGGAATGAGCAAACGCTCTTATGTTGAAGCTGTACTGAAAGGTCTAAGATCAGTAACTTCTGTTGATGTGGGTTTCATTCCACATTGTGATGATTCCAAGAGGATTTTCACTCCTCTTCCGGCTATTAATGGACATGTGAGAAAAAGAATCTTTGTTAGGCTTCTCTTGAGCATTGACAGAAGGGAGACAACAGAAGCAGCAATTGAAACTGTAAGCTAAATAGTGCAAGTAATTTGAGAAACTTGCACTTTGTTGGGTGCTGCCTTTGAATGTTGCATTTCTTTGATTCAGGTAAAGCTTGCACTGGAAATGAGGCAATTTGGGGTGGTTGGAATTGATCTCTCTGGAAATCCAAGTATTGGTGATTGGTACATCAACTTGATCTGGAACTCGAGCGTAGTAATGCATTTTCAATTTTGAAAAACGATGCTTATTCTCATCCTTCTTTAACTTTTGTAGGACCACATATTTGCCAGCATTGAAATTTGCTCGAGAACAAGGTCTTTGTGTAACACTTCACTGTGGCGAGGTGGGATGATCTATAACTTTGACCTGTTACTTTTGCAGTTTCCCTGACTTGGTCTATTTTTCCGACCTAGTGTTTTTAGGTACCTAATTCAAAGGAGATAAAAAACATGCTTGACTTTCGTCCCCAAAGGGTTGGACATGCTTGTTACTTTGAGGATGAACACTGGAGACAGCTGAAGTCGTCTAAGATTCCGGTCAGACTTTTTTTGCCAACCTTATAGTTAAAGTAAGATAATAAAAGTAAATTATGGTTGAAGTTAAAAGGGAAATTTCAAATGTGAATTTAATTGTCACATCTGAGAAGTTCCTCATAGATAATCAATAAAAAAGATTATATATACTCCTCATAGATAAAATAAAAAGGTTATGCTTTCACCGATCAACACTTCAGGGCTTCTGCTCTATGCGAAGTTTGAATTCGAATATCTTACATAATATCACTTTACAATTAGTAGCCAGCTAAGATACTTATTATTTATTTCATCTTTACTATTTTCAGGTTGAAATTTGTTTGACATCAAACGTTAGGACAATGACTGTCCCATCCATAGATGTTCACCATTTTGGTAGGTGTTTTTTGTTTATAGTTGAAGTTGATGATCATAAATATGGAATCAATAAACGAGCTGTTATTTTAACTTCACAAAGCAGATGCTCTACGCTTGAAAGTGATTTTGGATTTTGGCTACCTTCTTTATTGTTGTTGGAGAAAAACTTTAATAAACAAAGTAACTTTTGGAGAAGTTAGAAGTTGAGCTTGTTTTTTCCTTCCTCACTTTTTTGTTTTAAGAACTTTCTAAAACAATTCCATTCTACTTGGCAATCAATTTCGTCCTCTTCTATTTTCTTCATGTGCTCCCTCTTCAGGTGTTTAGGGTATAAACGATTTCAAATATACTCGGGACAAATAAATTTTAGAAACTAGAAAATTAATTTTGAAAACAGTAAGCAAGCAAGGCCCGTTTTCCCTTGTTGAAATTGGCTTTCCAAAAAGTGATTATTACATGTAATGTTCGTATGCTTTGCAAGAGAAGTTTATCTCTTATTGTTGGAGAACAAGTATTTAGTGGATTGGAAACAGGTTAAAGCAAGAGAGTTATAACTTCCAAGTGCCACGGCATATATATTTAGACAAACAGACTACAAGCTAAAAGTTCATAATACCCTTGGACATGGTTCATACATAAATTATACTATTGCGACTTTTGCCTATTTTTAAACCACTAATCTAATATGGGAGTTACTCTCCAACACTTCTAAAGTCATTTCAGAGTTGTATATAAACTTTCATCAGGGGATCCACTTCAAAAAATATCCTCTCTGAACATCATGCTCTTGCTGATGCAGTTGATTTATATAAAGCAAAACATCCTTTAGTCCTGTGTACTGATGACTCGGGTGTGTTCTCTACCTCTCTCTCCGACGAATACAAATTTGCTGCTGATGCATTTGGTAGGTTTCACTTTACTTAAACTAATTATAACTAAAATGATAGATAAGATTAACATGTGTGATTGATTATTATCTAGGGCTGGGAAGGAGGGAAATGTTTGAGCTATCAAGGAATGCTGTTGAGTACATATTTGCAGACAGCAGAGTAAAGGAGGATTTAAGAAAAGTTTTTAATTCAGTGGCAAAGAATATGGAAGTGTAAGCACAATTTCATCTTAGAGAGTATCTGCATTTAGCATGACTTAACCAGCCCAGGTATTACAATGATGGACACAAGTTGTAGCAACGTTAGATATTATTAGTATTAGAGATTAGCTAACAATCCAGCTGGGGCATGCCATTATCCGAGATTAAAATTGGTGATCAACTCCTTCACATGAAAAAATGTGTAAAGTGATAAAAATAAGGGTGCAAGTGTATGAGTATTTTAATTCATGTCTGCAACAAAGTTAGCCTTTATTTTCTCATTATACACGTTGCTTCAGAAGATGAATCCTTGCAATTGCTAATTGGCCTTTGATAAAATTATTGAATCAAGCGACTCTTCTAGGGGTTTCAGTTGATGAGCCATATGGCATACGCCACTGGTCACGTCACGTCACTGGATATGTGCTGAATAGTGACAACCTTGGCTAATAATGCTGCAATTACCACTTAAATTTGGCCATGATAATGAACTTTTCCATTATGCTATTCAGGGGTGAAAATAGTGGGTTGGGTACTTTTTGGATTAAAATTAGAGTTTAATTGTTATGCATTCATATTATTAAAGTTTTCATACCGTTATTTAATCAGAATTACAAATTATTTTTAGAGTGATTTTTAAGATAATTTTTGAAAAAAATAATAAAATTACTACATAGAGTAATTTATGATCGGATGATAATATAATTTTTTAATAGTATATTTTTATTAATTTTCTAAAGAAATAAACTAATTATTTATAATAAGATTGGATTGAGATTTTTTTCTCTCCTGAAATTCAACGCTAAATTCAATAATTATCCAATTGGATTTTGGTTGGATGATTAGGTTAGCTTTCTTTTAATATCAAATGTTCTGAAAAAAATAATTATTATTTGGATTGGCTAGGGTTTAGGGTTTGATTAAAAGAAATTGATACCCAAACCGATTGGGATTGCGTTAATCTGTATTGAACAAAAATTAAGTTGGTCAAAAGATATAAATTAGTGGTAATTGACCAATTGTAACTTTATAAGGCAGGATAATATCACAGAGCGATCAAGTTATAATAATATTATTTTGTTATTCGTAGAGTGTTTTTGCTTCAAAGTATTTTATTTTCATGCCTATCGTTATGCCAGTTGTTAAACGTATTGATTGAAAGCAACATAACTCGACAACAGTGCTTTGTTTATCCGATGAATTTTAACCTGTAGCTAGGCGTCATTGGACCGCTACTCTCCTCTGTAAATCACTTATATGATGCCTTGATGACAATAAGAAAGACACATAAGTTTTGTCTTCTAACATGAATTAACTATCAGACTCATTTGAATTCTTTTTACGGTTACAAAAAAAAATTAATTATAGATTTATTTAGTTAGATTTACTTTATTTAATAATTTATGTTTTATATCAAAGATTTAATAGTTAAATTTAAATTTTTTAATAGACTTACTTCATTTAATAGCTTATATTTTATATCAAATTTTAACTATTTAACCGTTAAATTTAAAATTTTTAATGCATAGATCAAGTGTATAAATTTTTAAGAAATTTGAAAATTATTTAATATTTCGTTTCATTAATTTAAATTAATATATAAAATATTTTATGATTATCCATCAATTTGAATTAATGAAACGAAGTACTAAATAATTTTTAAATTTTTTAAAAATTTGCAGATTTATTTTACGTATTAAGAACTTTAAATTCAACCATTATTGAAATTTGATGTAAAACATGAGTTATTGAATAGAGTAAGTTTAAATAAACTTGCTTCAAAAAAAAGTTTAGATAAACTTACTCATAAAATAAATGAATCCCTCGTCAATAAAAATATTATAAAAATAGATCCTACAAATATTGATTTGATTTCTCCTATCTCAAGACAAATGTTATACTTATGATCATCAAAATAAAAAATTTAATTAAAATCATTTAAATTTAATCAATAATATCAAATTTAATTTGAAATTATTTGGTTACATTAAATATTTTTAAGAATTATTTTATCCTTTACAATAATGTTAAGTAATTCAAATAAAATTAGTCTATAATAAGAAAATATATAGTCTCCTAAAATAAAGATTTGGTCATATGTTAGTATGACATGTAAAAGATTTGATCATCTAAATCCGAAAATGGATTGGTACGAAGTTATTAATATTGGGCATTAAATATTTAGACTTTTTTTGTGTGTGTATTTTTATAATAGTTTGTCCAATTCAAGCATACTTGTTTCGTACAAAATATAAATAGTCTCCTAAAGAAAGATTTGGTGATCTATTTTTTTTCTTAAAAAAAGGTGTATAACGTGTTTTTCCCACGTTTATACAAATTAAAAGGAAGGTAGTCAAGGTCATCGCTTGGGAATATAATTTGATTTCGGAAATTGACAGTCAAACTTGTTTTACCTTCTAAAATACGGCTGGTTTGTAGCTAATCAGAATCTATTTACTCCACAGTGAAGGTAGGTCATGAGATTTTGAGTTTCTTGTGTGAATTGAAAAAATATACTCTTATAAGTTATGACTATTTAAATATTGTTTTCTTTCTATTCTTTTTTACAAAATTAAAAATAGTTTATTTATAGTCAAGGTTATTTAAAAATATATTTTTGATAGAAATTAAAATACCACCTTATGACATAATAAATACTGTATATATTTTTTCATTGGACATGTTCTGTTGATTTTATATTTGTGTTTTAAATGATATCTATAACATCATATTTTTTTAATTATGTTTATGGCAATAAATATAATTAAGTAATATGTTTTGTATTGTCTTATTGTTTGTAGTTTTTTGGAGTGGATGTTAGAGTTGTGATAACTCTAAACTTAAGTTATAGATGATATAACTTAAATGAGTGAGAATTGGTCTCAAGAAGGCTAAAGTATATAAGGCGAATCTTAAGAAATAAATTTCATAAGTTCATAACTCAAGAATTTTAAAGAGAAGTTAGAGAGATGTACTCTGGATTATGATATTTTTCCTTCTCCTCCCTAACCTTTCTAAAGGTGCAAAGATTTGTGGTTAAGCAGAGGAGTGGTGATTCGAAGTCCACATAATTGAGAATCAAAGTGGGTGTAGTGTTGTGTGGAGTTTCTGTGCAGAGTAAGAACATGGAACTTATCTTCTTCTTTCTCCTATATTTTCTTGGATTCCAAAGGTAAAGGAAACTTGTTTGATTTTCTAAGTTATGTATGGTATTTTTGTCTCGTTGACTCATGCTTTGGTGAGCATTAAAGTTGAAATTGTGTATAGAACTTGGTGTTCCTGGTACTTTTGGTGAAGAATGAAGAAATTGATTGATGTGTTTGATGGTTTCCAATGGTATTTTATTCAGTTTTTTGAGTTGTATGATGATAGTAGATGACTATTTCTAAAGTACATGTATGAATCTCGTAGTTGGATGAGAGAACTTATGAAGTTGTTATATTGTTCTTGAGTTGTGTTCTATTTTGGATTCATGCATGTATGGGTTTAATCACTTAGAGCACCGATGGGATTGCTCAAAGCAAGCAATTGAGGTCAATCAGAGTGCTCTCTGACTTAGCTTGCTTAAAGCGTTTGTTGTGGATGCTCCAAGTGAATTTCTGTAGCTTTGACATACTATCAACATAATCAACTCAACATGCTTCAACATAGCATTAACCTATAACCTAACAACACAATATATAGACAACACCATGTAATCAACACATCATGTTCACAACACAATTTATCAACTCAACAACATATATACAACAACACAACGAAACATATGCATCACACAATTCTACAATATCGACTGCATATGCACAACAAATCAACTATATGCGTTATCACATATTTCAACTAGAAGATTTCCTACAACACAGTTAAGTAGTTTAAATGGCTTGACACTACCAAAACAACAACTCATTCTTTTCAACTAGATCAACAACCAATTTTGGATAATAATCCACAACACAACATGGTTTCTTAGATTTTGTTGCTTCAATTAGAAAGTCTAATATTCCTATCAAGATAAAACAATTTGGGTGTGAGCTTATCACGACATTAGCCAGTATAACTAAGTCACTTATGAGATTAATTCGCTGATTACCCTCTAAATATTGCGCACTTCTAGTACTTATAGTTAGGGATTTTCGCTCCCAACCTTATACCTTACTCTAATTTGATCGCTTTGTACACATATGTTTCAACCTGACTCACATATCACATCAACTAAGGTCTTAAAAGAGACAAAATTATCCATTTTAAGGGTCAATTTTCCAAGAAGGTTTTCAACGAACTAGGCTCTTAGAGCACCATTACACAGTATCCTCATAATGAGATATGAAACTTTAAAAACAAATTCTCTTCTAGTCCTAGGTCGATCAACACAGTACAACTTTAATGCCAAAACATTCTCAACATAGCTACTTAATTAAACAACATGCAACTTAACCTAACTTTCAACCATTTAATCAACTTTATACATTATACTACACCAAGGTATATAGATTCAACATATGACATATAACATAACATAATCATGATACAAAATGTAATATATTCACCTAACTTATTCATGTTCACCATATCATTAATCAAACAATAAGAATTTTTAAAGTAAACTACACCTAACACCACACACCTTGTGTCCGATACCATTGAGGCAAGAAGCTCTCTGCCTTATCCATGCCTAGCGCAATTCGAATTACACTCGACATGAATGAGGTAGGGAGCCCTTAGGAACTCATGCCTGACATAGAAAAATCCACATACAACCCCATTTCAAGCAAAGATAATTCTCTCTTTTCACACCCAACGTCATTTCTTTGACGCTTGACGCCAATCCAAGTAGAGTCAATTCTTTCACCTAACGCCCAACTTCATTCGAACCACACCTAACGTGACTAGGTCAAAGGCTTTTTTTTTTCTCATCACGCTCTCACCACCACTCCCACCCTTGGCGAGAGTGAGACTGAGATCCTTGATTTGAGCCACGTCTAACACCCTAAAGGTGCGAATGACATGACGATGAGTTCTATACTTGCAGACTCACAAATTTGGCTTAAACACTGAAAATTAGAAAATCTCCAACATGCAACACAAGATATTATTCATGTACATCTTTAACAACTTAAATCAACTCAAAATAACATACATTCACAAATCATTACAAAACATCAAATTCTCTCAACACATTCAAGAAAGCACCAAAACCCCAATCTCAACATCCAATCTACACAAAATCAACCAACACAACTATGAATTAAGTAAGATCAAGTATCATATAACTTCACAATTCAACAAAATTTTGAAATCTAACTTCCCTTGCCTCTAAGTCTCCAAATCTGAGAGAAAAGAGGAGGAAGAAAATGAATGAGTTCAGAGAACTTCGCACCGCCACCAATACAAGATTGATTCTCAACTCCAACAACTTTGAATCACCAACTATTTGCTCGAGTAAAAGCTTCTAGGATTCTCAGGAAGCTAAGAAAGAAGAAAAAGGTTTAAAAAATTTAGAGCTCTTCTCACTACTCTCTCTCTCTCTCTCTAAGGTTCTCTTATAAATGAAGTTATGAAGATTAAATCTCAAAAGAAATATTATATAACTCTCTTTAGGATCAAATTGGACCTCTACTTAGAGAACCTTTTAAATGCCTAAAACTCATAAGGAATTACTTAATTCTAGAGTTTCTCTTCTCAACAACTTAATAGTAAATCAACACAACACAAATTTTAATAAAATCTGTAACAATTAATAAAAAAATGTATAGTGTTACATTAACAAAAACCGTTAAACGGAAGAAACAAGACAAATTTTAATAATATTATTAAAATTGACAAAATCAAGAAATAATGAAATATAACAAAGAGAGCAAGATAGATAAATAGAGATATGGGAGGGAGGGAGAGGGGGGAGAGAAAGGGGGAGTGAGAGTCAGAGAGACAGAAAGAGCAAGAGAGATACAAAAGATGAATTTCAATTATATATATTTTATGTTTTAATAAAGAATATTGTGATATATATATATATATAGTTTTGGTCTAGTAATATCAATAGAAACTACATGACAAGAAAATGAATGATTAGACAATTTAAATTAATAATTAAAATCAACAATAAAAAAAAAATAGATAACATTTAATAATTTTTAAAAATAAAGTATTCAATAATTAAAAAAAGTTATTGATCTTTTTTATAAGAGAGAGAGAAGAGAAAGGATAAATGAAAAATAAAGATAAAAGAAAAAATAAAAAATAAAAGAGAGAGGAAGAATAGAAAAATAATATATACATACATATATATATATATATATAACCTTTCTTCTAACTCGAGAACGATTTTCAATCTCATGAAAATATTCTTGTGAAAAAATGGGATAAAAATGGTTTTAGAAAAATTATATCTCCTGAAAATCTTTTTCTTAAAATAGCTATCAAATATGAAAACCAAAATTTCTAATTTAAGATTTCCAAGAAAATAAAAATATTCTGCATAGTATCAACCATATAAAGTTTTAGTTTGTTTCATTTATTTATATAATGAAACCTAAGTTAAATGATATTACCAATTCTATTTTTATAAATATTTTGATATTAAATGATATATATATATATATAAAATAAAGGATACCAGCTGATAATCTACGCATAGAAATATATATTTAACATGTTATATGTAAAAATAATAATAATAATAAAGGACTATTGCATTTTATAATCCAGTAAATAAAAATTTCATAATTTTTTGACTTTTAAAAAAATATCAAACTTCAAAATTAATTTTAACATTTTTAGCAAAGTTTTACATATTTTCCTTATGAATACGTAAATAATAAATATTAACAAAATTCTTATCACCAATTTACATAAACAATCTGTTTACAAGTCATTAATGTTAAGTTTGTTAACTTTGAGTTTAACTCATTTAAATAACTAAGTCTGAATTTTACATTAGATAAACAACTTAAATTGAATATTAAATGAATCAAATTTAAATAAATCATAGATAACTAAACGCATTTACACGCTAAATGAGACATTAAAGCTGCATATTTCCAGTTAAGTCCCGCTATAAAATTAATTGATCTGATCCAAGGGATGTCCTCTTGTGCTTTTTATCGATAGAAAAATGACACGAAGGTAAGAAATCCAATGTTTATAATTATATCATTTGATTTGATGGAATGGAGATATCTGTTGAACTGGACAACACAGCAAATAGCAATAAGCTAACAAAAAACAATGGAAAACCGCCTCTCTTTCCAGTAGCCAAGGCATGAAAGGCGGAGAATAACTTTGACCTCACAAATCAAGAAAAAAGTGAACCATTGAACGCGTTGGAATTTAAAATTTCTATTTATTTATTCATAGAAAGTGCAGAGGAATTAAGGTCACACAAAACCAGCTTATATATATATATTATCATTAGTATGGAATATTATTGATTTAGTCGACTAACCATCTATAATGAGATTTCCTTTCTTAAACATATATATTTTTTTTATGAGTTAATTACTAATATATTGTCAGTGTAAAGTTTTTTTACACTGGTAACCAATCAAATCTTTTAATAGTGATATTTCAGTCGCTTATTTAATGAAATAAATTTTACACAAACTTTATTTGAAACCCATCGCATATGATAAGCTACCCTCACCAATAAAATATTAGCAATAATAAAATTCCTAGTTACCAAATAATGCCCTTTGTTTGTGATGTTAACGCTAAAATTGCATCAATATCTCTAAATGCTTCCACATATGTCAACTATTTGATAAAATGCCCCAAAAATTGCTCAAATATACGATCATCGCGTTAAAAGTGTAAAGTATGATAACCGGAAAACAAGCTAGTTTTCATCAAGATATTAAGAGGAAGAGATTATGATAATTTGAACTTTTTAAAGTTTCAATTATGGGAAATTTCATGCTTTTGCTTTTCATAAAGCAACTCAGTATCAACTATTTAATAAAGACCAAAAGATTGATGCTCCAAATTGAAAATTAAGAACCATGACTACAAAGTTCTTCATGTGGAAGCCTCATTCATTTTTAACAGTAAATTTATGCACTATATATATATATATATATTATA